TGCCCCCTTTCGTTGATGAACATTCAACGATCGCTAACGGAACTCACTCACTCGCCCCGTTCAGTCTTGGGATTCATTTTCGTTTCCCACCAGCAGCCACACGTCGGCTAATAGTCTATGCAGATAACAGTGCCTCAAGGCGGAACGAGACGAGTGAGTTCCGTTAGCGATCGGTAAACGTTCATCAACGAGTGTCAATATCTCCCGATCTAAACCGGCAAGACAACGAGCCAGTGGCCCAGTGGTTAGAGCGTTAGACATCTGATCAAAAAGGTAGCAAGTTCGAGCCTGGGTGGCACACCACCTGGGGTTGGGTATGACTGACTGACGATGGCTAATTAGCAAACAATAGGCATTCCAGTCTCCTTTGTCCTTGCCGGCAATGCTAACTGCACCTTTGTTTGTCAGGCTCTCTGCATGAAAATGGTGACCTGATATCAATTCGTCCAGCTGACTGTTCAATGTGAATGTGCTCCCACTATAATATACAGTATGGCGAGTGCTGCATGCAACATGCTTAAGTTTGTAAAAGTTTGATTATTACTCGCATACCGGCATGACCGCATTTGCGAAAACTTAGAAATAATGATGAGCAGGATTAGGCATATTAAGTACTGAAAAGAACTATAAGCAGTACCAAGTGTTTCTTAAGAAAAATAGAATTTTCCCGATAATACCCAAGTCTCAGAGAATTAAAAAATTGCTACAAATTAGAACAATATATTCAAATCTTTTCGAGAGTTGAAATCGGAATGTAACTAATTTCTTTTTTAAAAAAAATTTTTCTTCAGTCAAAATGTTTTGTACATATTACTATTAGTGGATAACTATTTATTGAATATCGTCGAATAAAGCCTGGCACCATCTCGATCGTTTTAAGTGTCTTCATTGATAAATTGTGCTTCTATTCGAAGTTAACATCAAAACCTTTAAAATAAAATATACATAAAGAGCCTTTACCGAAAGAATGAGTTTATGGATATTAGTTCTTATGAAGATGGCCATGGGGATTATATTTAGAGAAACTTCATAACAGCAAACCACACTGTCGAGGAAAAATTGTGTCCGCAAGATAACTAGGATATCCCTATTCCTGAGATTAATAAATAAGCTTCCCATAATAGGTAACCTCGTTAAAAATGCTTTATTTATATAGTCAGATGACGAATTGCTGTGTATATTAACTATTTCCAAGGTAATATTACAATGAAAATAGAGACTTTTAACAATTTGTTTAATATACCTGAAGATAAGCAATTCAATTGGCCTGGAAAGGAAAGTACTGACTTTTCTCTTTATAATGCATTATTTTCCGCACAAATGGATTAATTCCAAGATCTGTTATAAGCTTGCGAATTCAAAAAAGACTGGCCATCCCTGTGGCCATTTTTGAACTACCTATTATTCTTCTGTCTGTTCCGTTTCTCAATAATACATAAGCGGAACGTGTAGATTACAAAAATGTTTATTTCTACCTGACTTACATTTACTAAGGCCTCCTTTAGATCAACTTCACGGTAACATATATGGCAAGGTTTGCGTATGCGCTCACTGTTATCGGTGGGGCAAAAAAATTTTCTCGTACAAACTTATTAGTGCACTTTATGACACAAAAATTAACAGAATAGCAAAAAATATTTTTAAAACTTAAATTGTTGCTTGTTTCTGAAAATAAATGCGATTCCTTA